ATTGACGCATATGGACGAAGGAACAAAAGGTAAAGTTATCCCTGTAACAGGCCATGAGGGCCCATACGGCTGTCAGACGCCGAGGCTCCCACATTTTCTAGACAATCTGCTCACAGATGGCGGTAAGGTTCTCAGCCTTACGCGCCGGTCGCGCTTTGCCCCCAGAGAGGTGCCTGANGTGTAATAAAATTTGGTATCCGTTGCGTAGTTTATTTATTGTAAATATTCAAAATGTTTCACGGAATTATGAATAACTCTGTATATAAGGTCTTACAGTCTCAACTTTACTCTCTCGCTGTCCTGTTCTCCCGTTACGGAAACCTACTGCGAAATCTAACACTTTTTATGAACGAGGAGGTTAGGTGCCTAACATTGACGCATATGGAAGAAGGAACAAAAGATAAAGCTATCCCTGTAACAGGCCGTGGAGGACCATAGGGCTGTCAGACGCCGAGGCTCCCACATTTTCTCTAGACAGTCTGCTCACAGATAGCTGTAAGGTTCTAAGCCTTACGCGCCGGCCGCGCTTTACCCCCAGGGAGGTGCCTGATACTCATTTCTGTTAGAGGCTGAGTCAACCCCAGGGCCATATTGCGGCTGGAAGGAATTTTTCAATGGATCTTCCAGCCCATTCAGTTCCGTAATCTTTTTTACACAGAGGGTAGGACTCCTTGGACGAGTGATCAGCCCGTCGCAAGGCCGCTACCTACACACAGAATAAACGCACACAGATTATCCATGCCTAGAATATGATTCGAACTCAGGAGCCCAGCGTTCGAGCGAGAGAAGACAGTTCATGCATTAGACCGCGCAGCTACTGTGACCGACGGCTGGAAGGTTTAGACCAATTAAAAAATCTAATAACCTCAACGGGAACCGAATCCGCGACTTTCCCGCTTGTAGCATAGTGCCGCAACCAACTCCGATACCGCGTGCGCCCAAATTTATATTCTTACATTCCCAAGACATACTTAGAAACATCTGAAGAAGATGGGAGGTATTCATGTGTAATTAAAAAATATTCAGTGACTAAATTACTTACGGATCACAACCTGGTGGTCAAGAGTACAAAGTGTCCGCGAGCCCAGGTTTGCACCCGCCCAACAGCAATAACAGTACAAACTGTCACTCACCGTGATAAGATTTGGCTTTGCGCTGGTGAGTGGGATTGGGAGAGGGGTGAAGCATACGACAAGAAGAAGACGCAATTAAAACCCTCCATTAATTTTAGAAGGGAACACCAGATGTGGGGTTGATGGGGTAGAAAGTGTTGCAGAGAGGGTGCAGCTACACTAAAGTTTCTTGTGTGTCTCTCCCCTACGTTTTCATAATCCTAATACTCTTCGCAGAACGCACACTCTCAAGATATACTAGTATTCATTTGTCTCAAATCCTTAATAATTGTGTACTGTATATGTCTCTTCTTGCCAGACATTTCTTACCACAGTTTTATAAGACTAACTTGTACGACGCTAAATTCTGTTTTCTTAGTTTCATGCAAATGTTCCCGGGGCTTTTCACTTTGAAATTTTGTTTAATTTTAAGCCATTACCAGGAGTAAAGGAACGCTGTCTCATTCGGCAGGGCCAGGCTCAGCTCTGCTCAATACTGAAGCATTCTGAGTCCTTTCAGGGCAAAAACCAAGATAAAATACCCGCGTTCCCCCACAGCTTTACTTCCTCCCTCTATCTCCTTCGCTACTAACCTCTGTGGATAACAGCGAATCAAATATACCTCTTAATGCACACCATAACGTGAAATGTGATGAGATTAATCTTCAGGCATATGAGAAATATATGATAATCTTATTAATAAGAATAATTAAAGCACAATAGTTTAGTATTTGCATTTGTTAAATCAAATAAATTGTGAAGCCAGTTTATATAATATTGTCACGTTTAGGGTGGTACAAAAAATCCGTGACTTGAGTCAGCAAGCGAACTATACCAACCGAGCGACCGCCGCTTGCCGGCGAAGTTAGTGCCAACTTTAGTGGAAAGGGGGTGTCGCGTGGTCAGCGCAACGAATCCCAATGAACGTTAATTTCGGTTTTCTAGACCGGAGTCGATATTTCCTTGAAACAGCTCCTCAATTATCCTCACGAGGCTGAGTGGACCGGGTTCCAAACCCACTAATCCTAAGAAAATCTGGTAGCGCCGGGAATCGAACCCGGTACCTCTGGATCTGTAGCCAGGAATGCTGACAACTAGACCACAGAGGCGCGGCGAAAATGACGGAT